GCAACGAAAAGAATAAAATACCTTGGGATAAACTTAACCAAGGAAGTGAAGGATCTATACAATGAAAACTACAAGACTTTCTTGAAAGAAATAGGCGATGACATAAAGAGATGGAAAAACATTCCTTGTACATGGATTGGAAGAATAAACATAGTTAAAATGTCCATACTACCTAAAGCAATATACAGATTCAATGCTATCCCAATCAGAATCCCAAGAACATTCTTCACAGAAATTGAACAAACAATCCTAAAATTCATATGGGGGAACAAAAGACCGCGAATTGCTAAAGCAATCCCTGAGCAAGAAAAACAAAGCCGGCGGGAATCACAATCCCTCCGATTTCAAAACATACTACAAAGCTACAGTGATCAAAACAGCATGGTACTGGTACAAAAACAGGTCCACAGATCAATGGAACAGAATTGAAAGCCCAGAGATAAAACCACACATCTATGGACAGCTAATCTTCGACAAAGGAGCAGAGGGCCTACAATGGAGAAAAGAAAGTCTCTTCAACAAATGGTGCTGGGAAAACTGGACAGCCACATGCAAAAGATTGAAAATTGACCATTCTTTTTCACCACACACCAAAATAAACTCAAAATGGATCAAAGACCTAAAGATTAGGCCTGAGACAATAAGTCTTTTGGAAGAGAATATAGGCAGTACACTCTTTGACATCAGTTTCAAAAGAATCTTTTCAGACACTGTAACTCCTCAGTTGAGGGAAACAATAGAAAGAATAAACAAATGGGACTTCATCAGACTAAAGAGCTTCTTCAAGGCAAGGGAAAACAGAATTGAAACAAAAAAACAGCTCACTAATTGGGAAAAAATATTTACAAGCCACTTATCCGACAAAGGGTTAATCTCCATAATATACAAAGAACTCACACTGCTTAACAACAAAAAAACAAACAACCCGATCAAAAAATGGGCAGAGGACATGAACAGACATTTCTCAAAAGAAGATATGAATATGGCCAAGAGACACATGAAAAGATGTTCATCATCGCTAATCATCAGGGAAATGCAAATCAAAACTACACTAAGATATCACCTTACCCCCGTTAGATTGGCAAAAACATCCAAAACCAAGAACGACAAATGTTGGAGAGGTTGTGGAGAAAGAGGAACCCTCATACACTGTTGGTGGGAATGCAAACTGGTACAGCCACTATGGAAAACAGTATGGAGATTTCTCAAAAAGTTAAAAATAGAAATACCCTATGACCCAGCCATCCCATTACTGGGTATCTATCCTAAGAACCTGATAACAGATATCTCAAGAGTCCGTTGCACCCCTATGTTCATCGCAGCATTATTTACAATAGCCAAGACGTGGAACCAGCCTACATGCCCAGAAACTGATGATTGGATAAAGAAGATGTGGTATATATACACAATGGAATACTACTCAGCCATAAAAAAAGACGAAATTGGCCCATTCACAATAACGTGGATGGACCTCGAGGGCATTATGTTAAGCGAAATAAGTCAGTCAGAGAAAGACGAACTCTATATGACTCCACTCATAGGTGGAAATTAGTATATTGAGAAGGAGATCTGATCGGTGGTTACCAGGGAAAAGGGGGGGTGGGGGGAGGGTACGAAGGGGGAAGTGGTGTACCCACAACATGACTAACAAAAATGTACAACTGAAATCTCACAAGCTTGTAATCTATCATAACATTAATAAAAAATAATAATAATAAAATAAAATAAAATAAAATAAAAAAAGAAACCGAACGTACCTATTGACACCTACACGGAGAAGGTGACACCATTCATCTGCTCACAAGAGCAGGTGAGTGCATAAGGAAAAGGGACTCGATACCTTGGCATGAAAGGGCCACCTGACTGTGCCCGGCCGGGTGGGTTCTCCAAGAAGCCAGCACCCCCAGACCCCTGGAGCCATCTTCTGAGCCCTAGAGGTGCCCCTGCCTGTGGAAGCCAGTGGGCAGGCCCCATTCCCAGCCACTGGCAGCTGAGGTGCTTCGTGCCCCTGCCAGGCTGAGGCGGCGGCTCTGGAACCCCACAGCGGGGCAGGGCGGGGAGCTGCAGCAGGCACCTCCCTCACCCAACAGAAAATTTTGTTGCTTTTTTTTTTAAAACAAAACCAAGATTCTGTACCAGCTCGAGCAGGCCCAGAAGATAGCCGGTTCAGGGCAGTGCACCCAGCAGCTGCACTGTTCCGTATAGCACCGCGGCCACTAGGCACATGGAGCGGCCGAGTGCTGGAGGTGCCACATGATGAAATAATGTTTTTGACATATTGAATTACATAAAATACATTGTTAAAAGTCATTTCACTAATTTCTTTTTACTTTTTAAAATGTGGTCACTAGAGAAGTTTAAATTATAAATGTAACACACTACATTCCTATTGGAGGGCACTGGGCAAGCAGGCTGCTGATACCCTGCAGCTCAGATGCCAAGGGGTAAGGGGAAGCCTTGAATCTCCCTGGGGCCAGGGACTGACATCCTTTAAAAGCAGAGATTTTGATTGAGAGAGGAGAGTTCCCGTACAAGACAAACACACAATGTTGTATGTAGTTGGGTTTTCTTCGAAGAAAAAATCCCTTAGCAACAGGAAGCTTAACTGTGCCAACAAGGGCAGCAGTGGGAAACTGAATGTCAGTCAACCACAGTCACCCTGACCTGTCCCCCAAAATGTTCCCAGTTCTCTCCAACCGCACAGCCCCGTCAGGCTCTGCAGGGAAGGGAGAAAGAGCGGACAAGACCCTCCCACACACCCCCGGTATTCTGCCCTACCCACGGGTGAGTCACCTCCCGCTCTAGAACACAGGCCTTGCTCAGACACCCACGGGCAGGGCCCTGGGCCCCCAGCCAGGCCTGTGCTGGGCCCACTGGCCGCCTGCATTCTGCCCTCTGGCTCGAAGGTTTCCCCACCTCAAGTTAATGGTGATCCACCATCCCACGCGGGGGCACTCGTCATGAAGCATCTACCCCCTGAGCCCCTAATGCTGAGGGTTCCTCTTTGGCATTCCAAGTGCCTTTTCATCTGAGGTTTGCGGTGGCAGGAAACATGAAGCACAGTTCTGCCACTGACCCTGTGCATCCAGAGGGTCTCTAACAGTCATTTACAGCTTAACATTCTAAGGGTTCCACTGGATGCGATCACTCTCCAGGGACGGCTCCCCAGGGGCTGGGGGTGATCTGCCTCGATCTGGGTGCTGAGTACAGGGGTGTGTTCACTTCATGAAAATGCACGAGCTGGACCCTGTGATCCATCACTCATCCGACTGTACGTTCTACTTCAAGAAAAAGTTTGCAGAAATAATAATATCTTCTTTCTCTCCTCTGCTTCCCACCCATCCACTTCCCGCACTCCCTCAGGGCCAGGTGCTAGCCCTCTCTTTGTTCCTTGAACAAACACTCCCTCCTCAAGGCCTTTGTCCTGCTGTCCCTCCACTGAGAGCAGCTGGCCCCACTGGCTTGGTACTCAGGTCTCAGATCAGAGGTCACCTCACAGATAGGGAACCAGCTATCTCGGGATTTCAATCCCGCCTCCTCGCCAGCTCTCTCTACAACACTGACCACTTTCATCTCCTTTGGGGTTTCCAGGCTTTTTGGCTCCTCGCTAGAAGGAAAGCTCTGAGAGGGCAGGCCTTTAATTGTCGCCCAACACAGAGTCTCCATAAAAATCAGCGATCGACGCCGAGCAAAGGGAACGCGGGAACGGGGGAACAGGGGGAAGCGGGGGAGGGCTGCTTCGGGCAGGCGCGGACCTTCCGTGCTCCACGGAGAGGTGCTGCCTGGTGAGGGAGGTGAAGGGAGAATCCAAGAGGGAGCGTGGACGGGAGGGCAGGAGAGAGGGGGCCACCGCACGGAGAGGGCAGCAGAGGGGAGGCCACCGCACGCACGGGTAGGGCAGCAGAGGGGAGGCCACCGCACAGGGAGGGCAGCAGAGGGGAGACCACCGCACGGGGAGGGCAGGAGACGGGAGGCCACCGCACGGGGAGGGCAGGAGACGGGAGGCCACCGCACGGGGAGGGCAGGAGACGGGAGGCCACCGCACGGGGAGGGCAGGAGACGGGAGGCCACCGCACGGGGAGGGCAGGAGAGGGGAGGCCACCGCACGGGGAGGGCAGGAGACGGGAGGGCAGCAGAGGGGAGGCCACCGCACGGGGAGGGCAGGAGACGGGAGGCCACCGCACGCGGAGGCTGCGAGACGCCCGAGAAGGCGAGCCGTCACGAGGGCGGGGGCCAGCCGGGGGACCGCCAGGGCTCCATCAGGCCGCGCGCGCGGCCCCCCACGGACACGCGGGCGCCCCGCGGCTCGGTCGCTCGCGCTCAAAGACCCCGACACGCCCTCTCGGAGGGACTCCGCGCACAGGCCCGCAGACTCACAATCGCAGGGGGCTCGCGCACACACAAACGCGCACACGCGCGGCCTCGCCCCTCGCCACGCCCCGACCCGTCGCCTGGTAACGGCGGCCCCGCCCATCAGGCGTTGGGGGCGGCGCCGGGGGGTCGGCTGACCGGGCTCGCCCGCCGGATCCCTCTGCCGGCGCCGGCAGCGGCCCGGCGCGGTCGGTACCTGCCTAAAGTCGATATTGCCGAGGCCTCCGCAGCAGTCGGGCCCCGCCACCGAGCTGCTCATAGGCTCTGGCCTGGGCCCCCGTCCTCTCAGCCGGGGGCTGCCTCTGGAGGGACCACGCGGGGGCCTCGCGGCAGCTGCTCGCCCCTGCAACCGGTCCCATCGCTCCTGGAGGCGCCGCCAGCCGGGGCGCTTTCCCGGTGACCCCCAACTTCTCCCGGCCTTCTGGGAAATGTAGTTCCCCGTCCCCGCAAAGCGCCGCTTTCCTGTAGCTCACGTCGGCATCTCGAGGAGCCGAGAACTACAAGTCCCAGCATTGCACACTGCAGCGACGGCCTGTTCCGAGGCGGTCACGCGGCAGTGTCCCCTTGGATTCGGCCTCCCGCCCTGACCCCTTTAGTCCCCGGCTCCCGCACGCGGCCCGCCAACCCACCTGGCGTCCTGTGTTTGGCTGGCGGCTGTGGGCTAGAGGCCAGCGGCCGCGGGTCGTGGGTATAAGTAGCTTCTTGCGCAGCCCCCTGCGGACGTGGACTTTGGCCCAGGCGGCCCCCCGCCCCGCTCTGAGGTTTGCTCCCGCCCGGGCCGTGCGGGCCGGGCGCGCCCTGGCCCCGCAGCCTCCGCCGCCCGCCGGACCCAGCCTCCACTCTAGGACGCTTCGTCCGTTCGCGTTAGCTCCCGGTGTGGGCTGAGCCCGGCTGTGTGCTGCCGGTGCGGAGCGAGCGACACAAGACCCCGGGCCCAGTCTCCTAACGGAAGTGAGATGCAAAACGCGAATAAAGGATTCTAACTTGGACGCGTACTGTGATGGGAAAACGGGGGCCTAGGCCAGATGACAATAAGGGAGACTGCCTCAGACTGCTCAGGGAAGGCCCCCGAGGGAGCCCTGAGCTGAGAAGGGGCCAGACTGCCCAGTGCAGGGGCCGGGCAGCCCAGGAAGAGGGACTGCCTGTCCAAAGGCCGGGAGACAGGACGGAAGTAGGGGTACTTCAGGAATCCCGAAGGGCTGGTGAGCTGTGGAGTAGCAGTGGACGGGAGAGAGCGAGGGAAGGAGTTCAGAAAAGCAGGTACCATTTTAGATGGTCGGCTCCCGAGAGAGCCCCTTTTGTAGCCGGGTCTTACGTATATGGGGAAATAGAGATTTCCAGATTTGCACAAAGTTCTCCAGCCGGCTGGGAGGCCAGGCAGGACTTCTGCAAGACCAGCTCCTTCCATTGAGGCGGCCCACCTCTCTGCTCCTTGGCCCTCAACACCTGCCGTCTTGAGCAGCTGCTGTGCACAGGGCCCTGTGCTGACCTGTTAGGGATAGGCCCAGCCTTCACAGCATCCTTAGGATGGGCAGGCCCACCCACAAGACAGGCAGGACACTGGCTTGGAGCATGCACTAGCTCTGTGGCTGTGGGCCACTGGCAGTCCCCTCGAAAGCGAAAGGGAAATACATGTGGTAAAACGCTCCACACAGGACTTGACCCGTGGGAAGTGCTTAATAACCACTGGCCATGACAGGGCAGGGCGCACAGTGGGTGCTCAAGGGCTGGTTTGCCCACTGACCACTGTTGCTCACAAGGGTCAGGAGCGCTGCCCTGCTCAGGGCTTCCAGGCAGGGCCTGCTGGAACCAGAGCCCATTCTGGGAAGCCTTCCCAGGGGGAGGGCTCCCGGCGAGTACCCTCCTGACACGTCTGCTTCACTGAAGCCCCAGTTTTCTCCTGACCTACCTGGCCTCTCCTGTTGTTTTGTTAAGCCAAAAAAATAAGTTTTTGTGTGTTTGGTTTATCTGGGAACAAAGAAAGGTAAACGTCAGAGGTCACGCCAGAGCTGATGCAACCGGAGGAATCCACTCCTCTCCCGCTAACGTACCCCTTGCCTCTCTCCCACTGTGAAGAGAAAACACCCAGGCACGCAGAAGCTGGGCTGCAGCTTCAAAGGTGATTGGGTCATTCAGATCAAAAACCTCCCGCCCAAGATAGTTTGGGACGGAAGTCTTTGCCTGGCCCTTCCAAAACTCTCAGATGTGACAGCTTGCAGGGAAATCATCCGTGCCAGCCTCTTTGACTGGAATATTCCTTTTCGGGCCACCCTGGCAATGGAAGAGTCACTTCTGCTTACGTGGCTCAGGTGCTGGGAGGCTAACCACCTCTTCCACTGCTGGACAGGGTGTTGATTCACAATACAGACCCAGAGTCGCCATTCCTGAAGCTGTAGCAAATAGAGCTCCTTTCTACTCTCAGGGTTATCTCTCTTTGCCCCTTGATAGCTCTTCAGATATGGAAGCCACTTATCACAGCGCATCTCCCAGTCGGCTCCTGGCAAACATCTCCAGATGACCCCTCTGGCCAGGAGTTTGACCCTTGCTACAAGGGAATCAAAGCTAAAAGCCATTTCTTCACTTCTTCATCGCCTTCCTCCTCCTCCCCTCCCCCCACCCGGTGGCACTGGATCTGGCTGCACGCCTCGCAGCAATCACTAAAATGGGCTTTTATTACTAAAATTCACATTTGCGTATTGAGTGGCTTTGGGTAAAACCTACACCTTTTCCCTACTCTGAATTTATTTTCTGTTCATCTAGTAGGTATAATGATATCTCTTGAGTGAGGCTGTTGTGAAGATTAGAGGCAATAATATGCATGAAAGTGCCCTGCACATAGTGGCTTTGCCGTCAGTGTTTGTCTCCCTCCTTCCTACGTAACTGAGACTCCGCTCTCAGGATCACCCTCAGGACTCTCATGGACAGGCTGGAGTCTAGGACCAGCTCAGCACTGGGGCCCCGGAGAGCTGGGTGGCAGCTCAGGGGCTGCCGAGTTCCCAGGAGGACATGGGGTGAGAAGGAGCCAGGCTGGGCTGGCAGAGCTGCTCTCCAGCCCTCCTTTCCTGGGGCGGGAGCAGGGCCAGGCTAGGGCAGGGCGACTGCGGGTCGCGGGAAACCACATCCTCGGGAGGTCTTTAAAACCAGAAGGGTAATTAGGGACCATGGCCGTGATGCCCAGCGCCCCCTCCTAGATTCAGGTCTGGTTGCCCAGATGGAAGGTCCAGGAGCCAGAGAGCGGGGTGGGAGCTAGGGCAGGCAGCACTGCTGGTGATGAGCAAACCCTCCCTTCCGTCCCCAGCTGAGGAAGGACACCCTGCCCTAGTGACCTCCTGCCACTGGGGAGTGGGCTCAGGAGTGGACTCACCGCATCCAGCCGTCCACAGCCTCGGCCGGCCTGGGAGACACCAGCAAGACATTGGTGCTGGTGGGGCCTCCCTCCCCTCAGCGTCCGCAGTGGAAACAAGCCCTGCCCTCCTACTGGCCTCTCTGCTGTTCCCGGAACACCCCAGGCACACCCTTAGGGCCTTTGCATGTGCTGTGCCCTCTGCCTGGAATGCTGTTCCCCCAAATGGCCTCACAGTTCCTTCTCTCCCCTCCTGCACGTCAAGTATCTCTCCACTGTATTGAACACGCCAGCCTTGCTCACATGCTGCAGCCCCTTCCTGACTTTATTTCTCTCCACGGCCCTCATTGCCATTGAACAGATTTATTTAGTGCACCTATTTGTTTTGTGTTGTGTCAATCTCCCCAGGAGAACGTGAGCTGCGCAAGGGCAAGGGTTCCTACCTGTTTACACACAGCTCTCTCCCTGGCACCTGGGTCGTGCCTGGCACCCCATCAACAACGAGCATAGCTTTGCCACTCCCAAAGTGAGAGAGCTTGGGCAAGGCTCTTGCCTAGGCCTCAGTGACCCGGTCTACGGAATGAGGATGGCAGTGGGATCTGTGAATAGGAAGTCAAACCCAGTCCTGCCCACCACTTCCTGGCTGTGTGGCCTGGGGTAAGTGACTTACCCTCTCTGACTCTCAGTGGAAGAGAAAATCCTAACCATAAAAACAATAGCTAAGATAGTTGAGCCCTTGCAGCACTGCAGGCCTAGTGCTCGCCACTGTCTTCTTGAAGCCTCCTAACAGTCCTGCAAGGCAGGCAGTGTTCTGGCTTTCCAGGTGAGGAAACTGACTCATGTGGGAGGGGCCGGCCCATACTCATGCCGCTGAGTTAGAGATGACTTGAAACCTGCCCCAAGCCTGGCCTTTTCCCATTGCTCGCTCCTGCCTCCCTCGATGGAGGCAATGACATAAAGAGCCCACAGGACCCAGTGCAGAATACAGCACTTACTCACATACTCGCTGCTCAAAACCCATCCTGTTTGTGGCCCTTCTCTGCTTTCACACCCACACTTCAAGGTCCGGTTAAAGCTTTGTCTTCTCTGGAAGCCTGACTGCTCCTATAAGGACGAAGGCAAAGCATTATTCCTCACCATGGCCCCAAGGTCCTCTATGGCCCAGGTGCTGCTGCCTTTCCAGTTCTTCTTGCTCTCTGTACTCCAGCTACACTGGCCTCTTCTCGGTTGCTTCCAGCCACAGGGCCTTTGCATCTCCCCTTCCCTATGCCAGGCACACCTTTCCTTTCTCTTCTTGGAGAGCAATGACATTTCCTGCTTTGGCCACCGCCACATCTCCTGCACCTGGCACACAGCCAGCACCTATCAGGCACTCATGGAATATGTACTGAAAAAACAGATAAGTGAATGAAGGCCCAAACTGAATTTTAGTGCTGTGAAATTATCCCACAAAAATGGGGACAAAGTAAAGATATTTGCAGACAAACAAAGGCTAAGGGAATTCATCACCAGTAGGTGATGAGCCTAAAAAGAAATATGGGGCGGGGGGGGGGGGGGGGGGGGGGGTTCTCTATGGGGCGGGGCGGGGGGGGTGGGGGGCGGTGGCGGGGGTTCTCTTCAGGCGGGAGGAAGTGAGCCCAGCCTGAAGGCCAGGAATGCAGGCAGGAATGCGGCACTGGGAGACATTCATGCGTGTGCAGGGAAATCTCAGTGAATGTTAAATGTTCGGAACAGGAAAAATGTCCTGTGGGGGTGAAAATATTTATCTTGGTGACTGAGAGAAAAGGGAAGAAAAACCCTGTAGGGCTATAGATGTGAACATGAGCAACCAACTCCAGCTCGTTGATCTCCGCAGAAGTCCCCTCCCAACTGCAGAAGACGCATTGTTTTCAAGGTCACGTGGAACATTTGCCAAAATCAACCATGTGCTGAGGCATAAAGCAAATCTCAACAGGTTTCAAGGATTGAGACCGCATTGTTTATTTTCCTAAACACGGTGGGATTAAGCTAGAAAACAAGATAACTTAAGCATCTTCCAATGTTTGGAAATTATACATCTTTTTTAAACCCCAGAGACAAGGTCCAGTGGGTCCTGCCTGGGTCAGGTGTCCATCCATGGACCAAAGAGGGTAGCTGAAGATGTGGGTCCTATACCCAGCTGGGGCGGGTCAGGTCCCAACCCTAGTCCAGCAACGGTGGCCAGGAGAGGGCTGCAGACTCAGAAGGGAGGAGGGCATTTCCCATTTAATCGCATGGCTCCAGGAGAGGGGCAGTGTGGGCGGGGGATGCTGAGTGTGCAGGCCTCCCAGGGCGCTGTGCAATAAATAACAAGCAGTCCTTGTCCCCACAGCTCAAAGGTGACGAGAGCACAAGCCGGTCATTGCAATGGAGTGAGAACTGCTCAGTATGAGCATGCACAGGAGAGGGTAGGAAGCTCAATGCAAGAGCTGCAAGCCGCCGGTTAGAACTAAGGCCTGGGGGGTCACAGCGGAGACCCTCTCTCGGCACAGGGCTCGGCTTGCGGAGGCTTGTTTGGGATTTCCCCCTTAGGACTGACCCTGGGAGCTCCGAGGAGACGGCAGCGGACTGCTGTCTACGGTTCACACGG